ATATATATATTCACTTACTCACTTTTAGGATTTAAATTCTCAAACTTAATATATTTTAAAAGTTCTGAAGGCTAGGACCTAAAAGCTCCTTTGAAAGGATGAATGAGGAAGCACTGCTATTTTCAGAGCGTCACCAGGGCAAGGCTGACCTGACTGATGGGTCATTCTCCAGGAATTCAGTTAGCCGCTGTACTTTTTCTGGCTGGATGGATCGTCCTAAAAGTGCTTCTGTGTTGGTGTAGATGAGGAATGCAGAAACTACACTTAATAACGTGCCTACACCCAAAGAACCCAGGCTGTCATATAGCGGATTCCCTGGGAAAGAAAAACAAAACCAAAAACAAAATCAGTACAAGAACAATTTGCATTATGCCCATACGTTTTTGTGACTACAAAGTAAAACTGAAAATCAGAGTATGACAAATATGAGATTAATGAACTCTGATTGTAAAACAAGTTAGCTGAAACATAGGAAAAATATTTACTTGAATGTTACATAATCTCAAAACACTACATCTTTTTAAATATACTTAAAAGTTTATCTCACTGTACAGAAGCCCAAAGAGACAAAAGTTTCATATAATCACTCCTATGGGATGCACATTCTCATAAAATAACCTTTCAATGCAATAATATGTCTCTAACAGGCTTCTGTTTTATACAACGTTGCAAGGATCCATCATGCCCGAACACTCGTGTGTGTGTGTGTGTGTGTGTGTGTGTGTGTGTGTGTTAGAGAGAGAGAAATCCACCAAGTACTTTATATACCAAAGGGTAGGAAAGAGTTAGTTAAAGTTTCATTTGATCCATATTATTATACAAAAATATAATCATTGAAAAGTTAGCATTATCAAGGAACACTCTTCTTCAACTTAAAAAGTTTGCTAACTAATAATAACCCACATCAAAAACATTTCTAATATTTTAAGATTAACCAGAAAAAAATCAATACTTCTCAGAATATTCCAGATCACAGTAAACATTAGACAATGCTGGTTTACTCTTAAATGTTCAGTAATTAAGAAATCATCATCTTAAATGATTTTAAATATACAGTAACTAATAGATAAGAACAGAAGAAATTCCATTCCACAATAACTCTCAACTAAGTAATTGAGTTCTTTCATACTAAATAGTACTTTCGTGCTAAAAAATTCTCAAGGCAGAGTTAGATAAAGACTTGTCACTTAAATGTACAAATTTCATACGCAGTCGCAATTATTATCAGAAGTATCTTTTGCTAGAGCTAAAAGTATGCATCTTGTTCTTATTTACCTGTCTGTACTGTTCCTCAAAATAGTATGTAAAGGCAGTAAAGAAACAGGAAGGTAACAGCTGTTAATGCTGGCACTAAGAGTAGAAAAAGTAAAAGCCACAGTATATGTGTATCTAGCACTTTAGAGTTTAGAAAGGCTCTTCATATTTTAATAAACCTAAGTGGGTGACTAGGACAAACATTATCCTCACTTTCAAAGGTGAAAAACTTGAGCTCAGAATGAAAGTATACGTTTAAGTCACAGACAGAAGTTTAAGTTCTAACGCCAGCCTTCCTTAATTCTAATGTTTAAAGTCATAGAAGCATGAACAAATTAACTGCCTTATACAAAGAAATGCTTAGTGCAAAATTGTCATTTAGCAGTCAATTAGTAAGAAAGAATTTCTCACAAAAGTCTCACATAGTAAAGCCTCATTTATGTGGCAGAAGTAAATGACTAACAATGTAAAAAAACAAATTACCAAAGAAAATTCTTTACCTGTTAGAGAAGTAAGACCCATGCAAGTAGCTGCTACTGCCACTCCCAAGACTGCTGCAGTATCCTCTAACAATATAACATTGGTACTAGGATCATGACTGCCAACAACTTTCAGGGTTTGTTCCCACAGGAGTGATAAGGAGGGGGGAAAAAGCAAGAAGAGAGAGTTTCTGAAACCTTCACTTGAGACTATCAGGTAACATTTTAGTTAAGTATACAACTGAAATAAAATTAATATATAAAGTCATGATTTAAAAACTCCTTTTCAGTATAAACAAACGTCTTCTCTTAAATGTCTTAATAAGTGATTTTAAAAAGCAATTTCTTTCACATGTTATATATACAAAAAACACAGCAGTGCATTTAAGTCAAGTCCAAACATTAAAGAGGTAATTTATGTATCAGACACAAAAGAAACGATAAATTATTTTATACACATCTATAAAAACCAAAGCAACAGTGTAAAGTAATTTTCAGCAAATAAAGGAGAGACACATAGCAATATACCTGGTTTCAGAAATACATACCATACTTATAAAATGAGAGTCCCTTGGCTTGAGCACTCCGACGTAATTCATTGACAGCAACAAGAAGTGTTGCTGAAAGAAAAGCATTCATAACAACAACAACAATGCAGAAACTTCATGCCTCCAAACTTTAAAAGAAGGCATCTCAAAAAATAAGTACAACATTTTAATGCCAGAGATGGTAATAAGGAATTCTTTATTAACTAGACATTCTCAAGGGCCCAATTAACCATCACTAGATCAATCCTGACTCAATGGTAGAAAACAACAGATGATTGATTCTCTTATTTCTAAAAAATGATTTAAATAGTCACCACAATAATACACATTTTATTGAACAACTACTTTTTACATTCTCTTTTGATCCTCCCAACCTTTTTAGGCAGGCAGTGTTATCACTTTATAGCCTCTCAAAGACGAAGATAAAATCAGGCATAAAAGATGTCAGTGTTCCAGAGATAAGCATACCATGAGTAAATCAATGAATTACGCAGTTTCATACATGGAATTTAACTCTACCTTTGACAATATCATCATACCTGAAGCTTTCCAAAACTCTGAAATGTTCTTATTACAAAAAGCAACGGCCTCCTCTGATTAATGCCACCAAAATCAATGTTTTTAAAAAGTAACATGCCTGTTTTTATACAATTTCAATTTTTTTAACATTATGATAAGCCATATGAATAAAACACACCTTTTTCCTTTGACCTCATCCATTCAAAGTTCAACTATACTAAATTATATAAAGAAGTTACTCTCTAAAACTAGACATTCCTTTGGGGGGAGGGAGTGGGCAAGGAGAAAAGTACAACAGTGAATGACTGGAAACCCTAAATCTCTGTAAACTTTCATTAAAATTATTAATTAAACAAAAAAGAAATGAAACACCAAAAAACCCAACTAAACATTCCCACCATTTTAATGAGTAGAATTTACTAAACCATCAACGTGAACCTCTGAGTACTTATTACTATGTTTAAAAAATGATTTTGCGACTTTACATACCTCCTTCTGATACCAACGATCCTGCTAAAATGCAATATGCCTGGAAAATAAATATAAGAGAGTATATTAAAATTCCAACCAGATGAGGTGCTTGATATGAAAGAGCTCAAATTAGGACAATCTAAAATGAGATACGTATTGGTATGATCTTTGTTTTTGTAAGGTGACCTTGAGTCTGCAATGAAGACTATGAAGAAAGTATCTGAACCCTAACCTATCCTATGCCATCCTCATTCAAGCCCACTGTGGCATTTCCTGGGTCAGTCTATGCTGTTGAGGGTCTTTCTCTCCTGCCGATCCTCCACCGTCCCAGCATGATTGAACCATGGTGCTCTAGTGACTGGTTCCTCCTGAAAACATGCTCAAGGGAAGTAAGATTAAGCTCCATCAAGCCTACCTCTAAACATCACTTTGGTTACATTCCTTCAAGATAAGATTTGTTTTTCTGACAGTCTGTGGGATATTCAATACTCTTCACCAAGACAGGGCAAGGTTCAGAGCTGTTGTTCACAGGGTCACTAGAGCTGTAGTCAATTCGATGGCAAGTAACAACAGCAATTGCACCATCACTTTGGGCAGGTTATCAGGAGGGATCAGGATGATTGGTAGAGAGTCAGAAGAAACGAGGAAGGTTCTCAAAGAGAAGACTGATGTGAGGGGAACAACAGACTCAAGCACAGAAACAACTGTGAGGCTGGTGCAGGACAGGCAGGGTTTCATTCTCTTGTATATATACTGCTATATGTTAAAACTACAGGGAGTTTTGGTGGCACAGTGTATAGGGTGTTGTGCTACTAAGCCAGAGGCCATTCCTCTCTGGGGGCTTTAATCCACCAGTGGTTCTGAGGGAGAATGATGGGCAATCTCCCCGGCATGTGATCTATAACTTCGGACACTCAGTGGAGAGTCCTACCTAATGGTAAGGAAACGGGCTAAAACTGACTCAAAAGCATCTAACAACAGCAGCAATATGGACAAGACCATGTACGAAGAGTTAAGGAGGTTGCTGTTAGGGCCGTCGAATATGATTCAAAGTGACCCTGTCCTCTCCTGTGTCGTCCTCACAATCTCTGATACACTAAAGCCCATTGCTGTAATCACTATGTCAATCCACATGGTCAAGGGTCTTCCTCTCTGTTCCCATTCCTCCACTTTTCCAAGTATGATGTCCCTCACCAAGGAGCAACCTCTCCTAGCAACATGCCCAAAGTGTGTTAAGACAAAGTTTCTTCATCTCTGCCTTCAAGGAGCACTCTGGCTGCACGTTCTCCAAGCTATATCTGCTTATTCTTTTTGGCAGTCCATGGGATATTCAATACTCCAGTACCACAAATCAATGGTGTCAATTCTTCTTTGTCAGATATCGTTATATTGTCCAGCTCTCAGATACATAGCAAGTGAATGAAAAGACCATGGCCTGAATCAGGCTCACGTTAGTCCTCAAACACACAGTATTACTTCTCAATAATTTGGAGAGATCCCTGACTGCAGATTTTCCAGTACAAAACATCTACTGATCTCCTAACTGCTGGTACCAAGTGTACTGATTTTGATCCAAGTAAGGTGAAGTCAATGACAGTTTCTTTTTTCTATCTATTATGATGTTGCCTGTGGGTACAGTAGTGATAATTTTTGTTTTCTTAACAGTGAAAAGCAATCCATATTGAAAGCTGCACTGTTTGATCTTCTGCAGGAAGCACTTCAAGTCCTCACTTTCAGCAAGAAAAGTTACGTCATCCTCATAAAGGTTATTGATGAGTCTTCCTCTAAGCTTGATGCTACATTCTTCTACATAGAAACAAGCTTCTCAAACAATTTGCTCAATATACAGATTAAATAGGTACGAGAAAGGATAAAGCCTTTATGCATACCTTTCTTAATATTTGTGCACGCCTGAAAACAAAATATATAGGGAAATCTACCAAATTAGATGGCTCCATTAGGTGAAAAATGCACTTCCACAGACCATGTTAAAGATATATGTTTGCCAAAGTCCAGGCCAACAATTTTTTCGAAAACAGACCAAGTGCTTAAAAAACAAAACAAGACAAACCTCATTTTATCAAAAGCAAGAAACCTCAGTAGAAATAATAGGGAGCTACACTGTAGCAAATTCATGCTTAGTACATGTGAGAACTCACAGATGACCCTCCAGTGGATTTTCAGAAGCTATAAATCACGTGGGAAGAGACTGTTCATCTTTCTCCCTCAGAGTAGCAAGTAGATTCAAACTGCAAGAGAGGTGCCACTTTGGCTGGTAGTAGTACTCCCTATGGACTATGCAATCAAAGCTCCTCAGAAATGGCAATGAGAGAGGGAGAGAGGTAAATACACAACCCTATATTCCACAATCAAAAGTATGATGTTAGTCTCGCTCCTTCACATCAATATCACAATAGCTTTCTACTGCAATGCTTCATATTATAGTCTACATCACTTAACATCCATGGTATAATCTGTGAAATAGGCTATGTGGTTTGGACATTCTATAAATAGCACATATTTTACAAGCAGTTCTCATAAATAACATCCACTACTGAATATGTTTTTAAATCAAATGTACCCATTAAGTTAGAACAGTTAGGTATCTAAATTCATGTCTTAATTGCATGTCTTAATAGATATTACACAGTGTACCTTTCCATGTACTTAAAGAGGGATGTCATGCTTGGGAAGGTGGAGGGACAGCTCAAGAGATGAAGATTCTGAATGAAACAGATTGACTCAATGACTAGAGTAATGGGGTGGGTGTGTTGGAGACAAGGGGGTTGACACAGGATAGAGCAGGGTTCAAAGCTGTTGTACATAGGGTCACTATGAGATGCCAGGGACTTTGATGGTAGTTAACAACAATATTATTTCCATTTTCAAAAACATTAAATAAACACATCCAGATACATGGAAATATCTTTAAAATACTAACGAATAATACTGTTTCAATGAACACTGACAAAGTTGTATTGATTTGTTATTACAAACCATTGTATGTATCTTAAAATTTCAATGTAATACATTTTATATGGGCTTGGATCATGAGTGTAGATGTAGTTGAACACTGTACTAAGGGTTGTTGTTGTCGATTGCCTTCAAGTCGAGCACAACTCATAGCGACCCTACAAACAAAAGGCCTGAAGCCCCTCTACATCTATTGATGTTTATCAAAGTTCATAGAGTTTCTGAAGACATGTTATTTAGGAAGTGGATGCCACTCTTGCTTATAACTAACTATATTTTAAAACAAAATTTTAAAAAAAAGTATAAAAGATTACCCATAGGAGAGATTCTATTGGTTGAGGATTAAGCAATCCCATGATGCCATGGTACCAAGACAGTCCTGCACCCATCATGAAAATACCAACACCACTAATCAGTGAAACAATATAGCGCATATTTGAAAATCCATACCTGAAAAAGTAAAAATTATGACAAAGTTCATAAAGAAAAGAAATGGTGTCTTCTCAAAATTATTCTTAGGAAGTCAGTAAAGAAATACAAACCTTCAACTAGAAAGGCTAACAATTCATATGTAATGAAAATGTTAACTTTAAATTCCAAACTAATTAGAAAAATAATATAGAAAGTAGGAAAGCAGTACAAGCTTTGAAAATAAAGCAAGCAGACAAAATCTATAAGCTACTTTAAGGAAAAAAGATGGGCAATCACCTTTAGTGCAATTTACAGCCTCTAAAAACCCACCAATGAGTCAGTGAGTTAGTTTCACACCAGTGGCAATGAGTCGAGTTTTTTCATTGATCGTTTATTTTCTACTTCCTTCCCACAGTCTATTCTGATGCAGTAATCGTATATTATGTAATACATGAGGAGTAATAGTCCTACTTATTATGACCACAGATGCTGATATAATTAGTTTAATTTACTTTATAAATGTAGATTCAAATGAAACGAATACAATATCATCGAATGCAACTTCTGACTGAATATTCTGGTCATTATATGCGGTCACTTTACAAGTAGTTTAGTACTGAATATCTGATTCTGAAAAGTTTTTAAAAAGCAACTATCGACTATTTCTAAGACTAAGGAGTTTCACACGTTAGTAGTTTTTTTAATTGTTGAATTTGAAATAATAAAATAAAAAATCATAAACTCAGTTATTTTTCCAGTATGTCTGGCTACTGTGTACATTCCTTCACTCTTGACACTGATTCAGAAGCAACTCATAGCTAACCCTCTAGCAGGTTTTTAGTGGTGGAACACTGCACAGGAGGAGACTATCTGCCTTTCTTGGAGGAGCTGGTGGATCTGAACCACTTGATTTTGGGTTGGCAGTGAAACTCTTCAACCACTAGGCCACTAGAGCTTCTACCAAGTATATTAGTTTTTATTATTTGTAAGAATGAATAAAATAGCAATTATTACATACGTTTAAAACTTCTCTATTACAGAGAATGTAAAAGTCATTCATTAAAAGTATTTTCTGGAATATTTACTTCCAAACTCAAGGTCAATGGCAGCCTTCTGGTTGTGTTGTTGTTATTATGTGCTGTCAAGCTGCTTGTAATTCATAACTACCCTATGTACAATAGCCCTGAAAACTGCTCTATCCTGTGCCAACCTGATTTTCTCTGACATACCTACCCTCATTACCAAAGTCACTGAATCAATCAAGATTCTTCCTGTCTTGTGCTGTCCCGCCACCCTTCCAAGTATGATGTCTTTCTCTAAGGACTGGTCCTTCCGTGCAACATGCCCAAAGTATATCAGATGAAGCCTCCAAATTCTTGCCTCCAAGGAGCAGCCTGTTTTCACCCTCTCTAGGACGAACTTGTTTGTTGTCTTAGCAGTCCATGGTATATTCAATACTCTTCTTCAGCACCACAACTCAAAGACATCAATTCTCTATCATTACTAGTCATTACCTAGCTTTCAAATCATTGCATAGCAAGTAACTGCAAAGACTATGACCTGGATTAGGTACACCTTAGTCTCCAGACTGACACTGCTGCTCTTCTGTACTCTGGAGAGGTCTCTGACAGCAGCCTTTTCCAATGCAATTTGTCTTTTAAATTCCTGGCTGCTGGTACCAATCGTGTTGACTGTGGAGCCAAGCAAACAAAGCTGTTAACAATCTCAATCTCTTCACCCACTATCATGATACTGCCAATTAGCCCAGTGGTGAGAATCTTTGTTTTCATGATGTTGAGCTTCAATCTATATTGAAGACTGCAGACCTTGACCTTCTGCAGCAAGCACTTCAGGTCCTCCTCAGTTTCAGCAAGCAGGATTGTATCATCTGTGTAACGTAGATTATTCAATTTGTTCTGCATGTAAATTGAAAAGGTATGGCAATAAGATACATCCCTAATGTATACTCTTCCTGATTTTTGAACCATGCAGTGTTTCTCTGCTTTGTTCTGAGGACTGCTTCCTGGCCTTAATACAGGTTTCACATAAGGATAATCAAATGGTCTGGGATTCCCATTCTTCTCAGAGTTAGCCAGTTTGTTATAATACACAGTCAAATGCCTTTGCTAATCAATGAAATACAAATAGACATTCCTCAGGTATTCTCTGCTTTCAGCCAAGATCCATCTAACATTAGCTTTATTATACCTAGTACCACACCCTCTTCTCAGCCCAGCCTGAACATGTTAAAGTTCCCTGTTGATAAACTGTTATTGGATAATTTTCAGCAGAATCTTGCTTGCATGTGATATTAATGATATTGTTCAATAATTTCCACACTCGGTCGGGTCACTTTTCTTTGGAATGGGAACAAATATAGATCTCTTCCAGTCAGTTGGCCATGTGGTTTTCCTCCAGATTTCTTGGCACAGCTTGGTGAGCACATCCAGGGCAGGATCTGTTTATGAAATACGTCAACTGGTATGCCATCAATTCCTGTTTTGTTTTTGGGGTTGTTTTTTGTTTTTTAAAATTAATTTTAATGAACGTTTAGAGAGACTTGGGATTTACACTGATTCATTGCTGCACCTTTTTCCCTGCCAAACTTCCCAAGTTTGCTCTTCTCTTTGAAAAGGAAAATTCTCTCATAGTTATACAATCCTTCCCCCCAAGTCCACTCCACTATGCAGCCTTTGTTTTGCAAAGTAAAAGAAAAATTCTTTCATTGTTATACGATCCCTCCCCCCAAGTCGACTCCACTATGCAGCCTTCATGCAGCCTTCGTTCTGGACTATTATCATGACAATTCTACCTAATCATATATCCCTTTTAAACAGTTCTCTCCCTCATCTGTTTCAATGCAGTATACATAATTTATTCCATCTTTCTCAGTCTCCCCCCAAACCCAATGTCAGTCCTATTTTACAACAGTGGCACTATGCAGTATCTGTCCTTTAGTGACTGAGATATTTCATTCAACATAATGTCCTCCAGGGTCACCCATTTTGTATCATTTTCATGAGTTCCTTGTTTTTCAAAGCAACATTGTATTCCTTTGTGCGAATGGATTCCGTTTGTTGATGGGCAATTGGGTTGTTTCCAACTCTTTGCTACTGTGAACAAATTCTTTCAGAGCAGCTTGAACTTCATCACTACAGGCTTTTGCTCTGTGTCAGCCAATTCCTTTTGGTACAGTGACTCGTGTGTACTCCTTCCACCTTCTTTTAATGCTTCTGGGATTATTTAATATTCTACCCAAAGCATCCTTAAGAACTATAGCTCAAAGCTTGAATTTGTTCTTCAATTACTTCAAGCTTTAATAAATGCTAAGCAAGTTTGGCCCTTTCCATTTTCTGACTCCAGCTCTTTGTACATTTCATTATAATACTTTATTTTCCTGTGCTGCCCTTTGAAATCTTCTGTACAGCTCCTTAATTTCTTGTTTTCTTCCCTTTGCTTTGACTTCTTGGCACTCTAGTGCAATATTCAGAGTATTGTCTGACATCCATCTTGGTCTTTTCTTTCTCCTCTTCCTTTGTAATGAATGAACTTTTGCATTCTTCATGGATGATATTCTTGATATTCTCCCACAGTTCATCTGGTCTTCACTCATTGGTGTTCAAGGCCTCCAATCTGTTCCTGAGATGGTTTTCAAATTCAATTAGGATAGACTCATGGTCAAATTTTGGTTCCTGTGGATTTAATTTTGTTGAGCTTCAGCTTGAACTTGCACATGAGTAGTTGGTGGTCTGTGCCCAATCAGCACATGGCCTAGTTTTCACACCTGATACTGAGCTTCTCCAATAAGTCTTTCCACAGATGTCATAGATCTGATTCTATGCAGGTGAAATCCATGTGTATAGCCTGCATCTGTGTTTCTTATAAAAAGTATTTCCAATGCATAAATCATTGAACGTACAGAATTCTATCATTCTATCTCTGGCTAAATTTAAAGAAATTCTTAAATAAAACTATTTTTTTAAATTTGTACTATGATGTAATCTGGTCATGAGGAGTTCCAAGTTTATAGGTTGAGATGTTCTACAAGTCTCATTCAGAAATAATCACTTTGCTCTAAGTAAAATAAAAAATGTTGGGTTTTGGCCACACAATCTACAATTCAATGTTTCAGAAGGATATCATGCTTGTTTAAACACCGAGTCAGTGAAAAAAGGAGAATCCCTTAAAAGATAAGACACAAGAGCTGCAACAACTGATTCAAATACAGCAATGACGGTGAAGACAGTAAAGGGCTGGGCAAGTGGTCTGTTCGGCTGTACACAGGACTGTTCGAAGTCAGAATCGATTAGACCACACAGAATAACAACAACACAACAGTCAATGTAACAATGAGAATACAAAATATTTCCCCATCATCACAGAAAATTCTACTGCACAGCACCAGAAAAAAATCTTAATAAAGTAGTACTTTTATATTTCAACTTTTCAATCTGTAGTGAATAAAACTGGTCAAAGAATAAGTCTTTTTCTGGAGACAGTAAAACTGAAATGATGTATAATTAGTTATTATGTTCTAAAAATTATAGAGCTGTCCTCTACAACAGCGTTTAGTATATTTTTAATGTTGTTACACTGAAGAAAATACTAATGCCTGTGCTCAAGTACAGTATAGCTTATTTCCTTTACAGAAATACATGGTTTTGTTTAAGATTGATCACATTTCACTACTGAAGTCTGTTAATAAATGATGCATGTGGCATTCAAAATATATCACTAGGTATGCAAAGCAAAAGAGAAAAAAAATCTTTGTGTTAACTGCTAAAGCTCAAGACAGAATATTATATAAAAGTAATGCAAACTTATAATTTTTAAATATTAATAGAATAGTATTTCTAAATCATATAAAGGCTATATTAATTTGACATACATTATCTTAAAAATTTTAGTCTTGGTGATCTATTAGTTTACATTTGGTGATCTATCTGCTGTTGTGAGGTCAAATCAACTAAGACTCACAATAAATCTGAACCCTACCCTATCTTGCACTATCCACATGCTCTTTAATACCCTCAAAGCCATTGTTACAGCCTCTATGTCAGTTCATCTTGTGGAGGTTCTTACTCTTTTCTTTCTCTGACTCTCCACCTATTCTAGCATGATGTCTTGTTCCAAGGACTGGTCCATTCTAATAACACGCCCAAATACGTTAGATGAATTTTCACCATCTTTGCCTTTAAGGAGCACTGTGATGGTACTTGCTCCAGGACAGATGTATTTGTTCTTTTAGATTTTAATCTAATACATATTTAATTCTTTATGTATTAATACATATTTAGGTAATCTTTTAGAGAGTGCTGGTGGCTTAATGGTAAGAAGTTGCATTGCCCACTAAAGTTGCTCACAGTTTTAATCCAATAGTTGCTCTGTGGGGCACAAATGGACAATCCCCTCCCAAACAACTTACTGCCTCTGAAAACCCGCTGGAGAGTCAGCTATGAGTTGGTTCCAACTCAAAGGTACATA